ATAAAGGAAATTTTTGCACATGCAGCAGTACATAGCATGTATTTAGGCGCCTGGTGTTAGCAGACGCGCCTAAACAAGGTAATTGAAATAGACAGGTATCAGCATAAGGGTGTCAGACGAAAAAGATTTGAGAAGGTTTTAGCTTAAAAATATTACGAAAAGGGTTGCCACCTGTTTGTAAAGTCGAATTTGGTTAAACTAAATTAATAATTACGTCAAACCATAGGACTACGCCAGCGTATTTTTTGTTTTATTACAAATACATACATTGTCAATCAGTGATTTGTTGATTACATTCCTTTTAAATTACTGGACTCTTGCATTAACTCAGTAATGTTTTTACTCTCCACTTATTTCTTGCTAAATATGTCACATTTTTTTTAATTTGTCTGATACTCGTATTGATATACATAGTTCAGTTACCTTATTCCCTTAATTAAAGTGAATTTGATTTTTTAAACATGTGGCAGCCCTTCTACGTGTCATTTAGAGGTAAAGTATTTTCAAAACAAGTTCAATTGATACCCATATTGTAATATCTAATTCATTTAACTTATTAAATAATTTTAATAAAATTTGTAACAGCTGGCAACCCTTTTCAAAAATAAAAACCTTCATTGCACATCTACAGGCCAAGCACTGTCATTTGACACCTCACTTTTGAAAATAGAACGAACTATATGTACGTACTTATGTATGTAAAAGCTACAAGAACCCAAATTTTCAACTTCAAACTACATTTAGAGTGAAAGTATGAAAGTTATCCAAAAACCAATTGCATTTTTGAATTTAGCGCCCTCAATTTTACTAAGAAGCGACTTTTCATTTAAATCCGTCCATAATTCTACTTTTGCCCACTTTTATTTTGCATAAGAAGAATTGATGCATGGCAGATAGGCGTTTAAAATCGAGTACACAAGCTTCTTAGAACCTTAAAAGACGTTGGTTTGAAAATCAGCGAAACGGCCCACAACCACACCCACCGTCCATATGCCGGATGTCCCAGATCACCCACGCAGCTCTTCTAAAATGGAGAAAAGGTTTTTATTGGAAAACGGCAAAATATGAACTACCAAGTCGGCGATTCTCTATCTTTTGGTCGTATTATCGACATCCAGTTTCGACCGGAAGTCCATTATTTTAACCGGAAGTATATTCTAGAAAAACCATTCTGGCAAATGTTACGTATTTTTGTCCGCAGAATCCGAATCTGTGGTAAAAGCATGTATGTCCCATTAAAAAAAAAACGGACTTCCGGTCCATCCAGACGTTGAATATTTGTTCATTTTTGACTTTGATGACGTCTGAAAATAGCAATTTTAGAAAACAGCAGGAAGATGCAGTACACAATCCATACACTAAATGAAGATAGATATAATGCCCTTTTATTAGATCTACAAATATATCATATCGGGCGAGATTGGACAGAACAAGTCACACTCCACGAAACAAGCACAATATGTTGAAATTTTTATAATCATATTATGCACTTTGAAACAATGAATATTTCAAAAACACAAATTGTATTTAAAACCGCGATTGTTCCAGTCAACAATGCATACCATTACTATTATTTTCCGTTGCTAAAATGATCACGCATCAAACTTTTTATATACATAAAACACATCCACGTTGCACTGCAGTTCAACACAATAAAATTCTAGCACAAACTAAAACCAAAACCACATACTTTACGTTGACAGATAGGGGACCAGGGTAACCTTACGGTCATGAATTTATAATTTCTTTTCTAATTAGAGTATCTAGAACAAAGTCCGCCTGTTAAAAAATTTTAAAGTAAAAACTGAAACTTGGACTTTTGACAGCAGAAAGTGCTTATTTCAACCATAGTGCATGGTGATGAAATCCATTTGGCATTCGGAGGTGGCATAAAACTATAAGTCCCTCCATTTTTGTTACAACATCAAGACGCACACCACAAATTAGAGCAGAACTTAGGCCAAACACTTAGCAAAAGTGTAAGCGCCAAAATATTATTATAATATTATTAAAGTTCATATAAACAAATATATTCGCTGCATAACAATCACTTTGCCTAGAAACTGAACTGTGACTGCAATTATTTTAGGAAAATTAGAATTTTTTTGTTAAAACACAAAAGATAAATACGCTTATAATAAAAAACGATTTTTTAAAATGCAAAAAATAAAAATCTTAATATTCAACGGATATTTTCGGTCCCTGCTTAAATTTCAATGTCTAATGTTGTATGAAAAAAGGATCAATCTTCGAAATAAAATTAAATTGCAACTTCATGATAAGAAAGATATTACATATTGTTTGTATGGATTTTACTTATAAAACAAAGCACAAATAAATAAAAAGTTTATTCATAATTAGCAATCTTAGACGATAATGCTGTTCCATGCGATTTTATATGTCCACATAGTCCAGCGGA